GGCCGAACCACTCGAAGCTCAAGACAAGACCGCAGGCGGAGAGAAACCAGCAATTCGAGCATTGACAAGTTTCACTTGTGATTTGTGTCTGACTCTTGGTTGAGTTTAGCCTCTATGTCCTTGTGTCTTATGTTGTGTGTGGGGAGAAGTGAGGCATGCTGTCAAGTGCAGCAAGCACCTGTGTCGCGTACACACCCGACGTCACCTGACTCCTTAGAAAGGCTTCTGAAAAACCCGAGACGGTCTAAGCCCTGGGAGCACTTAGGGTAAACTACAACGTGATCACCGCCTGCGGCTTGATCTCGCCAGCGCCTTTGCTCAGGATGATCAGGCTGGCACGAACTGGCATGTCCTACCCCACAGCAGGAACTGCAGCCCCAAATCTTGAACCCGGAAATTGAATCGATGAGCTCTAGGAGTTATCGGAATATATTGGGATTGTATTCGGAACACGGGACAATGCAGGGTTCATCTGTTTCCTTGAATCTCGGGGTTACCCCACATTATGGCGGCTTCAGAAAACTCAGATCCTTTCCAAACGCTGAGGAACTTTGTGCCTCCATTTGCGAGTTCTTCACGTCGGTGAACTGCTACCCTGTGCAGTGGCTGGCGCAGGACAACCCGTGGCTCATTTCCGTTCTTTGCCTCAGGGCTTTCAAGCTTTGCAAGCCCCAATGCGCCGGACCTCGGCTGGCTGCAGATGTGTCTTAAGAAACCGCATTGAAACCCCAAAGCCAAGAAGCCCGACAGCCTTGGCCCATGCTGACGCTAGGATGCTCACTTCGGACCGATCCAGGTCATTCTGCATCTTGTCCGAGCTGTTGGACTTCAGGAGAGTGTGGGCTGCAAATTAGGTGTACGTTTCCGGTCAGGCACTTTTGATGAAGGTCTACTGGAACCTGGCACATGATGCGAAGAGTCGTGGATCTCTTCCGCGCAAGACACCGGCAGACCATGTTCGGGTTTGTATTTGCATATGGTGTGCCGTATGAGTCTTTTGAATGGTTGAGACGAGGCCTTACCGTGCAGAGACTATGACCTCAGGCCCATACCTACGCCAGTATCTAGAACCTCAAGTCCTGAAAACAATCCTAGCTTCTATAGCGCTGGGACATTTACACTCTAAATGAACCGGGAAGAAGGGGACCTTCTGATAGCGACATTGGGGTCCTCCAGGCCTGAACCCTAAAATGACCTCTAGATTCTAGATCCGACACTCTGAATCCCTGCAGCCTCAACTCCTAAACCCTGAAGTCCTAACCCAAGCCCGAAATTCTAAACACCCAAGCTCTCAACATCATTGAGCACTTGAACCCATGGCAATAAGCCCTTGACCAAGTCAACCCAGGCAGGGATTGGGACAAGGCTTCGTGTCGGCGGGGCTGCCCTCAGTTGCATCTCAACTGCGCAGGCCTTGAACTTATGTCTAAAGGTTTTAGGCTTTGGTTTCGGGTCTCGGAGATGTAAGTGCACCAGTGATGCCCAGGCTCCTGCTACGTTTGAAGGGGGCATTTTGGAGGGAAAATTTCAGGGTTCAGGCATTGTCCTGTCAACTGGAGTTGAAGGAGCTTTCCTTACAGCCTCGGACTTTTAGCGCTAGGCAATACATTCCAAATCCGTTTCCTGCCGCAAGTAACAGTTTCAAGCTCATCCGAAGGCGATCCGCTGCAGGCCATATATTTCATTCAGGGTTGTAGGCTTCGGCTAAGAGCCTGCGTTTAACTATTAACACAGTTGCATGGTTGGGTTCCGCATGGATCTCGAGGGCCTTCTGAGGATAAGAAATGCGCAAGCCCGGAGCCGAAAGCCAAAGCCTTCAATGTCAAACGCAGACATGAAGGCTCCCAGACCGAGATTTCCCCTGCGAAGACACCCTGTTGATATCAAGGATGTTCTTGCTCCAGCCTGTATAGATTCCAGATGTTTCCAGCCTTGATTGCTGATGTGATGTGGCGGTGCTGGTGGTGCTGGCGTAGCTGGTGGTGCGCAGCTACCTGTTGTCCTTTCGTGTTCCCATTCCCGCGGCCCTTGTCTGCCTGATGTGGCGATCATGTACACCGAAATTTCGACTCCTTCGTCCCCGGAGTTTGAGATGTCAGCTCAAGCTCCTTCAGCGTACAGCGGCGATCCTGCAGCCGCGCAAGAATGCCACAACTGTTAATCAAGCCCTGGAAGCCTCAACTCTAAAGACTACACCCAGAACCCTAGCAGAGGTGAACATCATCGTCCAGATCGTGGCATTCCGGATTCTTTGCTTGTTCTGGCCACCTTTTCTTCTTGTTCTTTTCCGCATGAGTGCATTCATCGATCGAAGAAGGAAATTCAGGAGTTGGAGCTTCACCACAGCTTGCAACTTCAATGTGAATGTACAGACGCACCCAGCAGAGTTTCAACTGGCTACACGTCGTTACACGTCTTTCCACCCATGTATGCGTGTGTACATATATGTAATCTGCTTACATGTAGATATCCGTATGTGCATGTATGTATGTCATACGTAAGTATGTCTGAATGTGCAGATGTACGTATGTATGTATCTATGTATGTTGCTACCGAACCTCTTAACCCTCGCCTGCTTGTCGAGTGCGAGTGCTAAAAAATGTATGTATGTATGTCATATTTATGTACGTATGTACATATGCATGCGTACCCTTAATTATGTCATAGCTGGTATTTCGTGTGCGCATGGAACGCTGCATTCAAAACCAATGTATGTAATTTCTTCTGCAAGCGACTACAGTCCATGTATGTTTCTACAGCAGAGTACACCTATATCACCATCAGTCGCAGCTGTTGAATGGCGCGTTGCGAGCAGCCTTCCAGGATGGAGGGCTTCTATGGGCTGATGCTCCTGGCCTGCGCCAGCCAGGCCGGCAAGCTCTTGGGTCCTGGGGCTTCTGGTCCGAGTCTACAAAACGGCCTACATGCGGGAAATCAGCTTCTGTCACGGCTTTCCGAAGTTTGCGGCTGTTCCTTGTAGGGTTGTACAGAGGTGCAGGGTCTTGGCGGTGTAAAAGGCACTCGGAGTTGCCATTGTTTTTGCCTCTGAGCCCTCAACCCAGAACCCTGAGCCTCAGACCTGTCACTGTCGGTTCCCTAGCGAGGCGTGCACTGGCTGGCAAGCCACGCTTGCAGCCTATGGTGCCTGGACTGCTTCAATCCAAGCTTTGCTGGTCGATTCTTCAGGGGTTCTGTTAAGGCTTAGCGAAAAGAGAGAGAGAGAGAGAGAGAGAGAGAGAGAGAGAGCGCGAGAGGGAGGGAGAGGAAGAGGGGCTCCATGGAAAGTGGTGGCCCTGTCGATTTAGGGTTTTAGGTTTAGGCTTACAGGCTTTGTGCAGGCTCGTGAGCATAGCGCATTCTGCTGCTCTCACATGATGTGTCATTGGTGCCATCACTTTGTTACAGCTGCATGTGCTGCATCTGGCCACGCAGTCGACAGGCAGAGGTCAGAGCTGAGAACCTCCTCGGAAGAACCTACATTTAAAAAATAGTTATAGAAAAAAGGATCGGAGCCTTCAGATCCTAAAGCTTCGAGGTCCGCGGCACTGCGAAAGTCGAAGTTGTATACGGGCTTTTCGGGATTCCATGCAAAGTGTTACAAACTCTGCCAGCTGCCAGAATTTCCCCAACCTTAAACCGCCTTGGGTCATGTACATGTAGCAAGCTCGGGACCTTATCTTGCAAAGCCAGCTTCGTGCGAGTGTATGTGGGTGTCGAAACCGCCTTGGAAAGGTGCCGTGGCCAACAATGCTCTGCGGATCTCACATTTGACCACAGCCTTTAGTATGCATTGGGATTTGAAGAGAAGGAGGGGAGGAGCTTAACGGGCAGCAATTAAAAATTTTATGAGGATTCATATTTTGAAGCAGGTGCTGCTGGGTCAGTTTTCGATGCACTTGTCTTCAAGTTGTTGACTCAAACTGCTTGTCTGGGTAGATCCGTTCTGACCGAAGGAGAGACATTCCAGCCTAGGCATTCTTAATTCGAGTAGGTTTTTGGTGAACTCTATTTCTGTGGGGGCCATGAAGGAACATGATTACTAACTTACACTGGTTTCTCGCGAAGCTACATATATAATTACAGTCCGCAAGCTGCAAACGGGGCTACAAAGGTACATGGGCAGTGAGTTGAAGAAGTGTTCGAAGCTAGCCAATCAGGCCTTGGTTTTGGACGGCGTTCGCGCCGACTCCCCGCGATGTTGCCTGCCTACAGCCCCACAGAACAGAACCAAGCAGAGAAAGGCAGTGATTAACGCATGCTGAGGACATAGAAAGCTTCACTTATTAATTGCCCTACTGCGCGACAGAAAGGTCAACGAGCTTGCCCACCACCGGGCAAATGTTTGTGCTGCCGTCGCTTGGTTGTACTTCTCGCTGAACTCGTGAAACATTGCCGACATGCAAAATCACATGTGCAAACGCAAGTGCAGTGAATACAGCCTGTCTAGGTGCTCCGGAACTCGGTTTAATACTGCACAAATTGTCGTGGCGTTAATAGTCACACCCTGGCAGTTGCAGCCCCCGAAGCGCACACCTGACAAAGTAACTTGCATTGGTTGTGCTTTGGTACTTGAGCCAATTTGAGCGTGCAAGGCATGGAGAGCCTATGCCGAAGAGGATACAGTTCAAGGGATCTTGAAAATCTAGTCGGGTGTGTAGTATTTGCCTGATGGCTGCCAAAATTTACCCGGCTTGCTATGAATCCTTCCTTAAGTAAGAAGGCTGAGAGTTGTTGCAGTAAGCCCAACCCCCGGAGCGAGTCGCATGTGGGGCTGCGGATGATTCAGGACTCTATAGGGGTCCTGAATATGGATCCTACGATTTAAGGGCCTTATTTGTTCCGCACGTTTCTGAAACTACATACCATGTGCACCCGAAGGTCCAGAAGTAGGAAGCAAAACCTCAAGGAAACAACCTGGCACACATACAAGATCCTTGTGCCATCAGATGCCCTGAAGAAGCAGTTCCTCTATAAGAGGACTCGTTGTCGCCATTGTCCAGGTGGGTACAACGCAGTCGCACAACGGTAAAGTTGTTGCAGGACGGCTCCTTGGAGATTAAGGCTCAGGGCTTCTTGGGCTCATACACTTTGCATAACCGAAGATAGCAGAATATCATGCTCATACAGCACATCATATGACATGATATGATATAACAGCATAGAGTCGAATCGAACTGAAGTTCAAGGAGGGGGGGGCTCCTGTGTTCCAGCGGTTGAGCCCTGGGGAGGACAGAATGCCTTTTTCGCGACGACGGCGCTGCTGGGTGCTCTCTTGGCCGACAAGCGCACGAAGCAAGGAGACCCATGTTGGGGTGTTTAACTGCACGGTTCTACAGTGTCCACGCGGCTACATCGTAAAAAGGCCTAAAGGCCTTGAATTGAAGGGAAGTTGGGACTAGCGGCTGGAGGCTGGAGTAGGCTCTGGCACGGACCAGGACCAGGGTCCTCAACTCCTGCTGTTTGTAGGGCGTCTTGTCTCCCTCTGGGTTGAGTCACTGCCGACCCAGTAAACACACGAGGTGCCCTCTAGACAAATTCGAAGCCCCCGTGCGAGAACCTGAAGACCTCACACAGGCTAAACCCCTGGAGCCCAGACTCACTCTTGCACGTATTCCACCTTGGCTTTGCGAATATTCAGCTAGAGGAGTTTTGGCCACGCAAACGTCTCGCGTTGACAAGATGTCTCCGAATGCACGGCCCCTCACGGGCGCCGGGCTAGAGAGATGAGAAAGAGTATTACATTTGAGTAAATGTCATGACACGCCTCAGAGTGGCTCGCTTGAAAGCACAACCGACAGGAGTGGACTTCACGTCGACTGTAGGCCAGGCTCTAGCGAGCGCGGAGGGTTCGTGCTTGTCGGATAGAACCCGCTTGGGGTGTAAGGATAAGGGATTGGGTGTGGGTCAGGGTGGCCGACGTGTTTTTGAATCGCAGGTGAAGACGGCTTCACTATACTATTTTAATCGTTGTAATTTTGTTGAAAATCACAGGGACACTACACAGGACCAACTTTCATTCTCGTAGAACTAGTTCTGTTCGTCTTTTGAGACCCTAGTAGCTTGATTTGCACCGCAAGCGTGCAACTGCATGGTTCAGGGTTCACGTATAAATGATTTTAGCTTCAAAGGCCCAGAAGTTCCTGTGTTGCGGACCCCCCGCAGAGCAAAAATGTATGGATGCTTTTTAACTCAAGCCCTCGGCGCAGACTCCCACTACGCATGGAGGAGGGGCCCTCAACAAAGTTCAGCGATTCAGCATCAAGAAAACAGAAGCCACCAGATCAGACGGGTCAGGGGTCCGGGTTCCAGTGGTGCTGAACAGCAGATGTTTCGGCTTCTCCTCCACACTCCGGACCATAATCATTATCTGTCTTTCCAGGCCCGCTCGACAGTAGTCTTGGTCATAGGAACCTACAGAGCCCTACAGAACCGGCATGCACCGACTACAAAGCCTCATATTTTTCAAGCCTTACACCTAAACCTATACCGATACTTGTAGTAAGTGTAACCCTCATATACACTCGAAAGAGACGGCATCTGCTAGGGCAAGAGCTCTCCGAGTTTGCTCGCGCGGGCCTGCTTGCCGGCATCATCTTCACGATGCCCTTTGACTCAACTGGCTCTGAGAAAGTTTTCTCTGGAGCTTACGTGCGAATGAATGTTCGTAAGAAACGTATATTATGTTCATCTGAATCGTCTCAAGGGGTTTATGCAGATTCAGTTGGCACAGTTGGAAATTTAAATTTATTGAAGAATGTGCTTTGCCGGTTAGAGGAACTTCGTTAACGAGAGCCCCATAGGGGGGATTACCTGGTTTTCGCGAGCTGGCTTCGAGTTCTGCGAAAGAAGTTATAGAGAGTAGGGACCTTGAGGTCCAGTATGTGGATACTTCTTGACATGAACCTCGCGTCTCATAACCACAAGACGTATTGAACGATAAGAAGCACCCAGCCCTTATTTAAAGAACCTCCCATGCGACGGTTGCGACTTCCCAAGAAGTTCCGAGTCTCCGGACCTGCGGGCAACCCAACAGTCGTGTAGAGCGCATCACTAAACGATATACATATAGTACAGCATACAGTTGTATAGTGGTATATCAGATTGTGTTGTGAGGTTAGAGTGTGTAAGATCGTATATTATTGTAGAACATCGTGTAGCCTGCTATAACGCAACATAACACCGTTTAACATCATTTAGCATAATGCAGCAATGCACATTTCCATGTATGTGTATTGGTACATACTTCCACAGAGACAGGGCAAAACCCTATATATCAATAAGACAGAGTCCTACAAGGTCCTACACCTTAAGCTTCGCAACGCCCTGGGAAGGTTGTTCTTGGCCAACACGGTGACGTCCTGCATTTCCATGGCCAAGAAGCTGGTTCAGTTCTGCGCCTTGGCGAGTCTACAGCTCTTGGCTCAGCATTCATAGCTTACCTATAGTCTCCATTGTCGTTCCCTTTTCTGGTTTAACCAATTTTTAATTGGGATCCTATAAGGTAACCCCGAAAAGGAACTACAATGGAGACTATAGGTATAAAAGATAAGAGATCTGGAAGGGTTGCCACGGACTATAGGCAACGTCTTAGGGAAGGAGTGTGCGCTGGAGGTGGTTGTTCTGGGATGCAGCATGTGCTGATTTGCATGACTTGTGATTTGAAACCATGGGTGGCATTGTAGTTTTCGGCAGTGCTTCCGGGATGGTGGCCTTTTAAGGGGCTTGGGGAATTGGTGTCGGAAGTGGCGCTGATTTGAGTGAGCTGAGATGGTGGCTCATTCCGAGCACCAACATTCAGGGTGTAGGAACCTTTATTCAATTTTGCTTCTGATTGTCATATGAAGAACAGCTCGTGAGAACCGCCGTTTAGATAATCTTAGCCGCATGTCCGGCAAACTCACCAGCCTGGACGCGAAAGAAAGCCTGAAGACCAGGGCGTCAATGAATGTGCAAGGCCACTGTGGCATTCAGCAGGCTGTAACACTGCAGCGCCTGTTGTAACTGCATCTGGCTGGAACGGCTTTGTAGGAGTTGATTTGATAAGGCCGGCTACAAGCACTTCCAATCCCCTCGGCATTTATGGGTTGTCTCGAAGATTAGGGGTTCCAAGTGTGGTCTTTATCACATTACCCTAACCCTCCAGGTACCCACTATATAGGGTTTCAGGGGCTCTAGTACCCTATATAGTAGGTACCTGGAGGGTTAGGGTTTTTATCCTTTTTTGTTCGTGCATCCTGCTGCGCACAGGCAAGGACAAGCCGGAGGAGTCCGGTCCGAGGCTCGACAAGAGCTTCTTGACTTCGCCGTGGCCGACGTTTTCCGAAGATTAGGTGTTAGGGCCCGGAGCCTAGGGATGCTTGGGCTTCAAGTGCGATGCTTTCGGAGGCCGTTTCTTCGAGGATTCGAAAGTATGTCTAAGCGGTCAGAGCCCAATTTATTCAAGGGCTTCAGGTGTAGAGCTTGATTGACGGTTGTCAGGACCCAAACTCCTCGAGGGGCTTCACTAAAGGCAACTACAGGTGGGGAGTTTAGGGTATATAGGGCTTCTATAAGGTATATAGACCTTCTATAAGGCTCCTATAACGGTAACTACCCACCTGAAAATGTCCTAGACTTCAGGGCTTTGCGGCTACGTTCGGCATAGCCGTGTTGCGAGTGTTCAGGGTTTACTGCGCACCTGCACTCCCAGAGAATCCCGGCTCCTGTTCCCAAAGCCTCCGACTAGTGACATGGTCCTGTAAACCAAGCAAGCCCTCTCAACTCTTGATTCCCAAATATTGCAATGCTCTTCTCAGCTGTGTGGATGCCAACCTGAAGTACTGGATCCCGAACTGTCACACAGCCGATGACCCAGTGGCTAGACCCTAAAACCCATTCGTTTGCAGACTTGCCTTGCAGAGTCCGAGTGGAAGCGTCGAAATGCAACTAATACACTGACACCCCCCTGCCCTGACACCTGAATACCGGAACGACCCGAATGCCCAGTGCCCTAGTACCGTAATACCGTACCTCCAAAGCTAAAAGGCCCAATACCCACATGCCTGGATGCTCCAAGTCAAGGTTTCCCAGCAACCCACATCATCCCCCTCAAGGCTCCCCGGAGCCTCAAGGTCACCTTGTTTTCGTAGACTTGTAGCAGACTTTCTCACGGTTGTATGTAAAGGGTTTTGGGGTGTTATGGGGACTTCGGGTCTTAGAACAGTTGCATTCGCGTCCCAGGAAAAGGGGTCAGAGCGCTCTGATCGTCTCGGGAAGCTTTGAGATTAGGCTTGAGGGGTGGTGGGCCTGTGCTTTTGCCAGGGTGGGAGCTCGAAGTCGGGGCTCCAGAACTCGATGCGTTTACATATACCTATACACACACACACATATATATATATATATACATATATATTATAGAGAGAGAGAGAGGTGTTATCGGGCGTTTGCAGCGGGTTGACATTTGTTAACGAGCTGCTGCACATGAAAGGAGTGCTTCATTCCTGCACGCGGAGACTGTTAGCACAGGAGGATCGTTGGCGAAGTGTTCTAGCGAACTGATGTTGGACAGCAGAGGTTGGGATGTTCGGAGTTCACGGTTCGAGCTCGCGGTTCAGAGTCGCAGGTGTCACAGGTCTATAGCTATAGGCCCACCGAAGACGGCTCGTAGATTTGTAGGTCCAGGTTTTGGAGGTCCTCGTCGAGTGTCTACGATGGGGTTCATGATTTCGGCTTGGGTTCCAAGGTTCAGGATTCCGAGTTTCGAACCAAAAATTAAAGACCCTAAACTCTTAAACATGAAAATGTGAACCCCCAGCCCGCCATCCTGAACTCTACATCTTAAAGCCGAAGAGTAGCTTTCAAACGCCAAATCCTACACTGTCCTACACCGTCCCATGCCCAAATTCCTATAAGACCATCACGCTCCACCCCCACGCGGCAGCCAAAACCATCCCACCCCTTGAACCGTAGCTAAACCCTACTTCTGGCCGCAGACCTTGACGGGCTATGCAGCGATCGAGTCATTTCAGCGAGAGCCCAAGGATCAAATTTCCGTCCTGGTCACCGCACGACAGGGTTCCAAAAGGCTTGGACTTGAAAGAGGGCTTATACAGGCTGTGGGGCTTGCGGCTCGCAGCAGCATCAAAAGGGCATCGACTTCTCGTGCTCCTACTGGTCGAATAGGGATGCCTATGACTGTTGGATTTGTCATTTTGATCCCTGCAAATTGCAAGCGCAAGTGTTCTTCTGTGCTCATCCGAGCTGAGCAAAACCTTAAGACATCCCGGAAGTCTTGCCCGTTCGTTAGCAAGTGTAGATCGGAGCACTCTCGCCACGTTTGATGCTCTCCTTACACAGGACTGGGCAGGAGCGAACTGGAGCTGTAGTAGTACAGACGATCGGGCAACTGTTCCGTAAAAGATCCGAAGGAAGCAGTAGCGTCAGCGCTTCGGGGTGTGAATATGAGGTTCTTGTGTCTTCAGCGTATTCGCAGTTCTTGTGCTCTTGTGAAGATCTGATGTTTGTGGCGTGAAGGGCGAGCAGGGGAGAGAAAGCATTCTATGCGCAGACCCGTTGTACTTCCTAGACTATGGAACAACAAGTGCTAAGCCACACGAAAGACAGCCTTCCAGCTTTGGGCCCTGCACCCAAAGCTCTCCGAGGCTGACATTCTCTCCGATGTGTCAAACTTTCGCAGCCCCACTTGTCATTGGCCACGGAGTTGCACTCGAGCATGTCATGGCTTCAAGGTTCACGGTCCCTCAGGTCGCGAGCGGGCCTTGTAGTTTTAGTTTCCAAGTCGTTTGGTAACATATTGGAGTTCTTGTTTGCTCCTGAGCTGCGATCCATTGTAGATTTCAATACACCGGCCTTATTCTTTTTTTGCTTTCGAAACCCTCCACCTGGCGAAGGTCCTGCCCGGCCCACGACTTTATGCTACGACAACCCTCGAAGTGCTTCAAATCCCCCTGGTTCATTGGCGCAAATTGCGCTCAAAATCGGGCTCCTGTCATACGTAGTTTCACGCACATATTGGGGGGTAGGGCTATGGTCAGTCGTCCTGCCCGTCGTGGGCGTTTACGAGCTTTGATTCGGTGAAGGAAAAAGCTGCCATGTCAGTCATTGAGGAGCCGGTTGTGGGGGGTTCGGAAAACACGCCCCGGCATCATTAGCCGTTCTCTGTACAGTCTTAAATTTTCTTCTGAATAGACATGGTGCTTTTCATGGCCAAGAGAGATTGCAGCCCGCGCAAGCGTCGTGTAGTGGCTGCAGTCTTATTGATTCCTAACTCTTCCGCTACGAACAAGGATGCAGGCACTACTGTATCTTGGCCAAGGTAGTGGCCGCATAAATGCTTAATCATGTTATTCTGTACTACTGCTGGTGCTGCCCTTGCGGCTGCTACTGCTAAACCTGCGACTACGGCAAGCACAGAAAGCAGCGACGGTACTTGTCATCGTCACAGTTGTCACAAAATGAGTATATCGTAAAGGACCGCACCTCCAAATCGGACAAGCCCTTGATTCCCACAGTGGGTCCCGCACCCTGAATCCTTGTCGCAAGGCGGACTACATACCTTGCCCATTCCCACCCGGAAGCCAGCCTTAACCCTGTAAGCCCTGAGGAACCTTTCTCCTACCCATTAGTCCGCAATGTGCAAGGCCAGCTGCTCGGATTCAAGGGTTTGCTGATGCTCGTCAGCGGAGGCAACTCCGTGTGCTTCTCCTTGCAACCTGCTGGCACATAACGTAGAGTTTAGGGTTTAGAGCTTTATTGGGTTTGCGTGCATTCTAGCGGGGTTTTCTAGCGGATTTGTTCGGCTTGTTTGCACGGCATCAATCCTAACATCTGCTTCGAGGTTTACCCACGTGAAAGAAGTGCGCATGCTTGATTAGTTGGATCATGTTCAAGGTTCGAAAACATAATCGAAATTTTGCAGGTCGTGAAAGGTTCCTTAAACTTCTAACAATTGCTGCTGCAGACTGGGCCATTGCATGTCCATGCCCACGTCATCCCTGCAAGTGGAATAAAGGAGTGTTCGGAGCTTTTCGTCTGTTGTTGTTGCCGCGCTTGTTTCGGGCATATCGACTTCAGAGGCCGTGTGCTCGCAAGATCCTAGTCGACAACATGTTCCATCGCTTTGGGTTCTGCGAATCAGCCCAGTTGCTCTCTGTTGGCAGAGGACCCCTCATCAAAACTTCTTCCTTACTTTCGGGCCACCCCCATTACTTACGAAGTTCATGGACGCAGGGCTGGTTTGAGGCTCAGTTCCTCGAGCCACGTTGAATCGGGACCTTCAGGCCTAAAATCATGTTAAAGCCCTTCAAGCACGAAAGTCATAGCCGTTTGCAGAGTTCCCCCCTCAAACCCCGGAAAGCCCTGACCCCAAAAATCCGAAACCATTTAAGCCCATGAAACCTGGAAATTCTTCGGTGTCAACGCCATTTTGCCCAGGAATATGTTTCTCATCAACTCCGGGCAGGCTTGGGCGCCTTCGAATGCACTGTTGGGGCGTAGGCTGTAGGAGTTTATGTTGTCCTAGGACCGGGAGTTGGACAAACTAGTCGTGAATGGCGAAACACTAATCCCGAAATCTACCGAAAGACACGAAATGCTTTCGGGGAAATCGCTGCGACCTGTAGCCGGGTTGTCTCTTACAATCCTGAAACCGGCCTCAGCCTTGGCGCAGCCCAGGACGCAGCGAGGAAGTATGCGCCTCCACTGGATTCATTGGTCGTACGTCGTACGAACCAGCCGTAAATTGCTGATGGCTTGCAGGGGATCGCTGGGCTGGAGGTCGCGGCTTCGGGTCTCAGGATTTCGGTACGCTTCCGTGATTATGTGTAGAACAGAACATCGAAATCCGGCGGCCGGTTGAGTCTCCGGTGTTCAGTAGATCCTCAAGCCCGAGCAGGCAAACCCGAAATCCCAAATGCCAGCTTAGACTTCTGTTAGATCATGAGTCTGACTCCCTGAAGTTGTAAAGCCTGCGCGTAAGCCCCCTTAGTTCCAAGGTCCTCTTCGGCATGCTCAAGGACCTCCCTCAAACCCTTGCGAAACCGTTGTTCAGGGCTTAAGGTTTAGAGTGGCTTCACATAGGGCCTACTGATACTAGCTCCTGCGTGCATGACGCGTCCTTCTTCCCCTTGTGGAAATTGTAAATTTCGGTGTCCTTCCTACTAATAAGTGGATCTTCGATCCGATTGCATGAACTGTCGGCATCAGCTGTGCCGTTCTGCCTCTTGCTCATCAAAATATGTCCTAAAAAAAAGACATATCGCAGAAACTTCGTTGAGGTTGGCAGGAGAACTTAGATTCTACCCGAGCTGTGAAAGTCATCGCTTGCCGTGGCAGCCGCAGCTCGTCCATGTCTCTAAAAGAGGCGTGCGGGGCCACCATCCTTCACCATGTCGACACCCCCCCGGCGCTCGCTTATCGCAAGTCGCGTAACCGCGTGCACGCGCAAACTTTCAGCAGAACCCCTGAAACCTCAAAATCTGTGCAGCACTAACCCTAACTCGAAAAACAATGAATACAAGAGTTTAAAAACATTAACTCTGTAGTTAATTGTTTAGGGTTCTGGGGTTGAACAACCCCCCATCCTGACTTTTCATTGCCTTCCCCCTAACTCGAAGCACATGTTCATTTCCCAGCCTCAGCGACTTGTGAACTGTGAATCTGGAGGAGCTGAAATCCTGATAAAGTCTTCACATGCAAAGGGTTTAGGATTTCTTCGCTGGAAAGTTGACAGGATTTAAAAGCAAGCTCAGTGGTGCCTTCTTGAACCCGGTTTGAGATCTAGGGCTGAAGTCATCGTAAAGCCTCCGGCCCCACTCGCCCTCGATACTTCAACCTTCCACTCGGCGTTTGGGGTTCTTTCGCCGAAGCACGTGTAGCTTGAACCTTAAGCATATGCCTCATAAACCCCTTCTGCCCATTTCCGAACCCCTAAGCCCAAACCCTACCCGCGAAACCCCTAAACCCTAAACTCCTTATAGGTCCTCCCTAAACCCTAATAGCGATCCTTATAGGAACCCTTGCAGCGCCATCTTCCTAAGCCCCCGTGGAGCCGGACAGGACAAGCAAGGCGAAGTGGTGGGAACCAATAGCCAGCAGTGGATGCCTCACGGGTTCGAGCTTCGCTTACAGGGTCAGGGTGATCAGGGGACTTACCACGGACGGCTGTAGGTGGGGAAAACTGCAGCAATGTACTTGGGCTATCTGTTCCTGAACCTCAAGCAAGGCGTTTGAGGCTTTAGGGCTTTAGGCTTGATGTCTGGATCCTTCGGAGGGTCGTGTTCTGACAGCCAGCAGGCACAGTTTCCATCAAGGATGTTCTAAGCATACCTTTTATGATTCAATGATGGAGGGGCGGAGTGGGCCTTAGGGTCTGCTGTAGGCTGCAGGGTCGAGCACGCTTCGGTCTGCTGGCTCAGAGTTTAAGGCTTTGGGACGAGGGGCGTATGGTCTGGGGTTTGAGGATTCAGGCAGTAGGTCTTGTGAGGGTTTTGTCGTCTCTGGACAGCTCAAGAACTGTTGGGAATGCGAGGCTTAGGGGGTTTCGGGGGGGCATCGAGAACATCTCAAAGCCTGAGTCCTAAGACCGACAATCTAGTGCAGACGTTGTTAGGGTTTAGAATTTGGAGCACCGGCGAGTCAAGTTTCAGCGGCTGTGAGAGATTCGGCTATGGTTCATGGTAGGAAGTTCGGCAAACAGCAATCGGAGGAAGAATGCGCCTGAAGGCAGGCACTCATGGTACCTTCTGATGCTGCATGGGAGCTAGCTCTCACTGCAGCATATGTTATACCACCTTATTTACATGCGAACCCTTGCGACCTTGCGGAATCTATCTACCGCCCTGCACCTCACCCTACAGCGCGAATCTTGTTCTCTGACAATCGACACCCTGAGCCCCTCAGTCAGTCTGCTTGGGATGTCACGAGGTATGACACTCTGGGCATCGGGGAGCAAGTTGGCGGTGCTCTGAGACACAGTGCTTGAGCGGTAGGCCACAACACGCATTTGAGTGCCCATCATTCGCTACACTACACTTAGCGCCGTTACCGTGTAGAGACCTCGGGTTTGGAGCCCACCGTCGTGTGCCCCCACAGAAGGGCCAGCAGGGAACTCCTCCGCAATGCAAACGACGCCGGTTGATTGAGGCGGACCGTTGGAGGACCTAACCGGCCCTGCGTTGAACAACTTCATCAAGTTGCCTGGTTTGCACAGTTTGATGTGTGTTGCACTCGCACAAGTATAAGGTTGGCTGTGGGTTCATGCGCTTGATGGTTGCAAGGCTTCTTTGGAGCTGTCGAGGTGAAGGTACAAAGTGGAATGCCCCCCAACCATCGCCAGGCATTTTGCTGTGGCTCGAAAAATAAAAATTGAGCCTCGAGCAGCTCACCGTTGTCGTCCTTGCCCGATTCGGGTTCTGTTACTTGTACACAGACACTACGAGCGGGGGTATAAGGACTGATTGTTGAGACTCCTGTATGAGAGGGCCAGGGTCTTCCTGTTTAGCCTCGATCTGACCGAAGCAGGTTTGTCGCGGTCGTCGGCTTCGTGACCAGCGCCACTTGTCTTGGTCAGCAGGGTGCTGTAGGAGTTCCTTCATGGGTGCTGCATGGGTACTGTACCGGTTCCCTTAAGGCATCCAGAGCCTAGTCTCCTAAACCCGAAGCCCGTGAAGCCGCCTACAATCAATCCTGAACCAGTAAACAAAACGGCCAAACAAGCTGCTCACGTCCGTTATGAGGTTCATGCTACCCAGCCTTGCCTCCCAAAGCCCAACTTTGGCAGCTGCACGGAGCTAGTTGAGTCTTCCACGCTCTATTGCAAGTAGCTTATTTTTGTGTCTGTCTTATACAAAGAGTTCTGTGGTCAGTAGTCTTCTGTTCGTGACGATCAAGATCTGTATCTTCGGCAACATCGCATGCTCATCGAAGAGAATCCAACACTGGAAGCCCTCTTGCCTGACTTCTGGCCGGCACAAGCAGCTCTCCAGGATCTCTACGACGAGTTCCCAGACAACACCTGGATCTTGGGTCGCTTGACGAAACCACACGATCAGAGCCTTTACAATCCTATGGATGACCTGGGAATGGCATGTCCACGAGGCTCCATGGGAACATCGGCCGAACACCAAGAATTGCCACCTCTAATCCCGAAGTGCTAGAGGACCGTAAGCCCACTGCACCTCCAACCGTGCACGAGGTATCGGGCAGGTGTTCCTGAACTTTGGCCTAGTCAGCTTCTTCAAGCGCCTTGGTGCAAGAAGCTGGGGACCCTGGCCCCGGCACCCTAGATTCCCATAGTGGATTCTGCTTTTTCAGAACAATTAGGTGTGAATCATGGTTTAGGAGAGTCAAAGCTTAGCCCTCACTGGCACATCCCAAAGCTGCCTTTCAAACATGGATCTACATGTCAGAGTTTCATGCTCTCGGCCGTTTTCCGGTTTTGCAGCTGAGCTGGATTTGGGATTTGGGCTTCACAGCTACAGTCTATTGTTGGACTCACGAGGCATCTTTTCAGTAGCACTCCGATAACGCCCAATGCTCCACGCCTGGTTTGTTCCTATTCGGCAGATTTGTGTCTGCATCTGACAGAAGGGCGCCGGGTACAGGAACTGACCGTGATGGGCTGACCGGACCGGTCCCCGTCGGCCGGATAGAATTTTTGTATATCCCAAAACCCTATTCTAATCATTCAGGCTCCTGCATTACCCTGATAGTATCCCTTAGGCAAAC